GGGGAAATCTGGTAAAGAACGGAATGGCCAAAGCTTCTCAGGTGAGCGATGTGGCCCATGGGCCTCTTGTTTACTAGTCCTACCCTTGGTGCTCAGGTGAGCGATGTGGCCCATGGGCCTCTTGTCATCGTTGTTGTTGTCGTCGTCGTTGAAAATTTTTCACATTTTCATCTTCTTTTCAAGAACCACCAGGCCAATTTCAACCAAACTTGCTAAAAAGTATCCTTGGGTAAAGGGAATTCAAGTTTGTTCAAATGAAGGGCCATGCCCTTTTTCCAAAGGGAGATAATTATGAATAAGAGAAAAATTAATGGCATTTTTAAAAAATCTTCTTCTCAAGAACCACTGGGCCAGGAAAAATGGAACTCACGTGGAATCATCTTCAGGTAGTGAAGATTCAAATTTGTTCAAATCATGACCCCTCAGGGTAGGGTGGGGCCAAAATGGCCAATCAAAGTTTTACATAAAAATATATAAGAAAAATGTTATTGCTGAATATTACTGCATTTTTCGCAATATATTTAGAATAAATTTAATTGTTTTAAAAGTATTTAAAAAAAATGCACATGGATACTGAAATACATTTTGAACATTTTGTATGATTCATCTTTATAGTGGAAAAAAGAGAAAGAAAACAGTAAAAAGGGAAAGTAAAATTTTGTTTGCAATGGGATTTATTTATGTCTAATTTCTGATTTCTCTACATATATTCATCAAAAACATAGCTTGACATAGTACTTAAAACAATTTTTGCTTAATTTACAGAGAGAACTTTTGTTATCCTATTCAAAGATTCAAAGTGAGGCTGAAAAGTCAACCAACTGTAAGGCTTATGAGCATCAGACAATTAGTTCAGAAAGAAACATCATTGGACATGGGAAAAAGAAGTCTGGTCATCTAATTCAAAGATTCAAAGTCAGGCTGTGATTGGACATGCAAGTATAACACCTTTTAATTGTGGTTTATGCACCAAAGCGTTCAAAGACTTGAACACCTTACAGAAACACATACGAAACCGTACAACTGATGAAGCTTTTCAATGTGATTTCTGTTTAAAAAACTTCAGCCTGTCTCGTAACTGAATCAAACATAAAAGAATACATACTGGAGACAAACCTTATAATTGTGTGTGGGAAGGCATTCAGCCAGTCATATACCTGTCAGGAACACTCGAGGATACATTCAGGTGATAAACCTAAAAAGTGTGATGTGTGTGGGAAGGCTTTCAACAAAGTAGGTAACTTAAACTGCTACATGAAGTTACACACAGGTGATAAATCCTAGTGTGATGCGTGTGGGATGGAATTCAACCAATCAGAGAACTTGCAGAAAGACATTATGACACATACAGGTAATAAACATGCTGCAGACAAACCTTATAAATGTGATATGTGTGAAAAGGCATTCAATTGGCCAGGAAAATTACAGGTACACATGAGAACACACACTGGTGAAAAACCTTATAAATGTGATATTTGTGGGAAGGCATTTGCACTGCTGCATCACCTTCAGGATCACACAAATATTCATACAGGTGATAAACCTTATATATGTGATGTTTGTGGGAAAACATTCAACAGATTAAATGCCTTACAGAGGCACATGAGAACACACACAGGTTATAAACCTTATAAATGTGATGTGTGTGGGAAAGCATTCAGCCAGTCATGTCACTTTAAAGAACACATGAGGATACATACAGGTGATAAACCTTATAAATGTGATGTGTGTGGGAATGCATTCAACCAGTCACAACAATTACAGAAACACACGAGGACACATGCAGGTGATTATCCGTGTAAATGTTTTGTGTGTAGGGAGGCATTCATCAACATACACCACATACAGAAGCACATGAGGACACATACTGGTGAAAAATCTTATCAATGTGATGTGTGTGGGAAAGCATTCAGCCATTCACATCACTTACAGACACACAGGAGAACACATACAGGTGAAAAACCTTATAAATGTGATGTTTGTGGAAAGTTATTTACCCGGAAAGATCACTTACAAAGACACCTGAGAATACATACAGGTGATAAACCTTACAAATGTAATGTATGTGACAGCTCATTCAAATATGCCAATGATTTAAAAAGACATATAACTACACACACTGGAGAGAAAATGTGATTTCCGTCCAAGAGCATATTGTAAAAAGTCAGATCTAGATAGACATCTGAAGATACACACATGTGATTAACCTGTTAAATGGTGTTGTGTGTGGAAAGGCATTCAACCGATTGCACACGTTAAAGATCTACATACAGACACATTGTGGCGAGAAACCTTAGTATTGTGATGTCATTATCCACAAATAGCATATGATGTTTTTGGGAAGTCAATTGAAACAGAACTATACATAGAGTTTAAAAGATCAGTTATATGTAATTAAGAAATTGAAATAAATACATCAGGAATATGAAAATGATTTAACTGTGATTTGTTCCATAGATCTTTTTTTTTAAAGAGAAAGCTCTCCGTTGCAGATATATACACATATATGTAGAGAACTTGTCCGTAAGAATGCACATTAACTGACAGAAACAGAACTACTAATATATATCATAGCAATTTCCTACAGAAATTCAAGAAAGAAGAAGAAAAAATTTCTACCCGTATTTAAAAAGAGAAGGAAGATAACCAGAAGGCATCTTTCTTGAAAGACATGCTTTACATGAATAGGAGGCTTTAAAGACAGGATCAAGGGATGGATATAGCAGAACACAGGGGACCGCAGCCAAGTTAGGAGGCCAAGTTAGGAGGCTTTATTAAGTTTAAAGACAGAATCAAGCGATAGATATAGCAGACCTTGGGTCTTTGGAGAATGTCGACCAAAAAATAGGTCACTGTGACCTACTTTTGACATTTTATGGCTTTATTTTATTGTATCTGGTACTTATTGGCTCGGAATCATTAAACTTTGTCAGTTGAGGCATCTTACAATTTCATTGAATGTTCAACAAGAAGTAGGTCACAGTGACCTACTTGTGAATATCTCAGGTACTTATTGGCTTAGAATCATCAAATTTTGTCAGTTTAGGCATCTTGGGTTTTTGGAAAAAGTCGAGCAAAAAGTAGGTTACCATGACCTATTTTTGACATTTGATGGCTACATTTAATTATCTCTGGTAATAATTGGCTTAGAATCATCAAACTTTGTCAGATGATGCATCTTGGGTTTTCAGAGAATGTTAACCAAAATGTAGGTCATGGTGACCTACTTTTGATATCTCAGGTACTTATTTATTTAGAATCATCAGTCTTTGTCAATTAATGTATCTTGAGTCCTTAGAAAATTTCAATCAAAAGGAAGGTCACTGTGACCTACTGTGGTATTTTATAATTATATTATAATATCTTCAGTCTTAACTGGCTAAATATTATCAAACTTTTTAAGTTGGTGCATTTTTGGCCTTATGTAGGCTTCTAATAGAAGTGATAGAGTGTACAATTTATCAGAAGAGCGATTCGAGGCCTTTGGGCCTCTTGTTAAATTATTGATGTGTACCATGTAAAATTTCATCTTTGAACCTTTTTCTCCTTATGTATGCCGACGATATGTTGCTTTTTTCTGAAACTGTTACTGGTCTGCAATCCTATTGGATCAATTATCAACCTATTGTGAAACATGGAAATTGAATATTTATGGGCACAAATCGTAGATTTTTGTTTTAAGATTAGGGGAATTAGTAGTGATGAAAGGATTGTCGCCGACGATCGATTGTCAATCGTTTTGGGGTGTTCGATTCCGATTATCGATTATGTTTTTCATAATTGATTGTCGCCCAAATAAACTTGTAGGATTTGAACAAAACAAATATGTACGCATTAACAATACATGTAAAACGAAAGGAGGTCAACAAAAATGGCGTCCAAAGAGGAAGTTAACGACAATCATGTAGAAATTTACCCATATCCAGGAAATGCATAGATAGAATCTTTTATCATTAAAATGATATTGTCCTTCGGACCTGGTTTAACGATATAATTTGTTCCGTCATTTCCGTATATTCGTAATGTAGCAAAAGAAACAAGGGCAATAACCCGTACTCAGTGCATTTAACGACAATCTAGAGAGTTCCGAATGTTAACATGGCAGGTACATTTGAAGCAGGAGAAAAACGCTGAGAACATTAACTGGATTTTCGTCTTTATATGGATTATTTTTTGTTCAAAAGTCATAAGCAATTTCAAAAAGACTTTTTTTTTATTAATTTGAAGTTATTTCCTGTGCAAATCCTTTTATATTCTTCAAAATCGTTTCGGAGCGGAGCCGCTCCGATTTGCTACATTGCAATTATATGGGACGTGTTCTAACTGTTGTTAGGGCTTGTACCGAGACACAGTTAGATTATTCTAACTAGGGAATGCAAAATCTGATGTCATGACAAACATTTTAAGTTTTATGAGCAAATATGTATTTTTTTTGTTTCTTTGTTACTTATACAACAAAAAGTTGTTTTTAAAATAAACTTGATAAAATTTTATTTTTAATTTGTTCCATAAATGATAAATGCAATAAAGAAATGGGATTTTGTATTTGAAATTTTAATAAGCGATTAAGTCTATCATTGATCGATTAAGCTTCTCTGATTTTGACCGATTATCGATTATGAAATTTTCCCGATTATTCAACACTAGGAATTAGTAAAAGATTGTGAAAAGTGGTATATTAATGGTGAAAACCCTTGAAATTGTTGATCACTTTACATACTTGGGCATTATTTTTTATTATGATAATAAGTTTTCTCGAGCTGAGAAACATCTTGCTGAACAAGGCAGAGAAGCTTTATTTGCCTTAAAAAAGAATATTAGAAACATGTTCTTTAATCATGAAACATTGTTGTCTTTGTTTGATTGTTTTATTGGCAGTATCTTAAATTATGCGTCAGAAATTTGGGGTACACTTAAATCACCTAATATTAAAAAAAAAATACATCTTGGTTTTTGTAAACATATTTAAGGAATTAAAAGAACATGTAATGTAGCTGTATATCCATCTTCCCAAGTCAAGAGTTTCTGATCCGCTCCGCTCCACATAAACCCTTGACTATGGCACGCCGATTGGTTCAAAAGTATTTTCTGCACGACCTTAAACAAAAATTACACGAGTAAGCCAAAACTTACACAAAGTGCAGAAAATACACACAAAGTTATTGAAATTTACACAAACTTCACAAAAACTACCACATCAACAAAATATTTACACGATATCATGAGGAAATTACACAAACGTAAAAATGAAAACTGCACAAGTGAGAATACAACATCGACATAATATACGACGCATCCTCATTGCGCACATTTCATTAATATTCATTAGAGAACAGCTCAGTGTGGCTTGGATGCTTGAAACGTTATGAAACAAGAATTAACAAAAAACAAAAGGTAAAGCGCCCAATTTCGAAAATCCTATTTCGTGAGGTAGTTAGGCGCCTTCAATATCCAATCCAGCAACAAAAAAGGGCGCTTTTCAGTGGACATTTTACAATGGAAGTAGATTTTGTTTGCAAAAAAAAAAAACAAAAACAAAACAGGGTGGGGGGTCTACAGGCGTGATTGACGATTAATTTCGTTTCATAATTATATAATCGTGTTCTTTTTTATAATTTATATATATACATTTATTTGGGTAAAAAAAGTAATCCATTTTAATTTTTCTTATTGCATCCTATTTGTAACATTGTAACATTATATGTAATATAAATGTACTTAGTAATTAGTAAAGCACAATGTTTTAAAAATAACAAAACACAAAAGCACATGTACATTATGATAAAACACATAGGGTATATAAATACTCCTTTATCTGGTCCTTTTTATTAAAATGAAAACATTTATCGTGCAATCGCCATTACGAATGAGACTACGCTCAAAAGAAATGTGTTGTTTTTTATTGAGTAATTTATAACTGAAAATATGAGATTATATGAAAAGAATTCAGTTCAAAGTAGACTAAAGATCTCCAACCAAAACTGATATCCTGATATTTTATAAATATGAATACATATGTTATTCATGGTTCCATTTGGTTCCACGTGTTATTAGAATAAAATATTTTTTTATGTTTGGTGTTAGATGCAGGCGTGGGTCCAGATATTTTTTTTCAAGGGGGGGGGGGGTCCACCCTAGTAAAAAAAATCCAATCCCAGAAATTTCCTGACAGGCAAAGAAAGAAAGATAAAAACAAAAGTCGCCTAAAAGTCAAAAATCTATTTCATGGGGGAGGGGTGTAATCTATTACTTCTATTGCCTCAAATCTTTCACTTTTCACATCCATTTCACACACATATTCGCGTTTACCGGGGGGGGGGGGGGGGGGTTCAGCGTTTTCCACAACTTTTTTTCTTGCTTTAGTATATACATTTTTTTAAATCCAGGGGGTCAAAATAATTCTAACATTTTTTAAAAAAAAATCAAGATCCTTGTCAAACGTACTGTATATCGTTAGGTACTTTTAGTTCAGAGACGAGTATGCATCATATGCATTTTTTTACCCGCATTAAACGATTCCTTTTTGTCACAATTTTTGTCCGGCTTCAAATAATACCTCCGTATATTGGTTAGATCTCGGTCAATATAAGAAAAACATAATCTTTTCGAAAAACGTTTTCTCACATATATAGATCACATGGAAACACTTCATTTGTTCGATTAACATTAGCTAGAAATTGGATCGAGTTTTGGCAAAGAAATAAAGAAGCAAAATAAAGCACATGCCATCGTCAACGCCATTTAATTTCCATTCTCGATTACATCCAGCTCAGTATACATGAAGCGATAAAGAGTACAGAAAACCAAGAACACAATGAATATTCTATGTGCATAATAATGATATGCGCAGCTGTATGCGCAGTAAAATTGTTTGTGTAATTTTTAGTTTCCTCTGCTCGCGCAATTTTTGATTTTTGTTTGTGGATAATGTACCCCTAAATCGTGCAAAAAATGTCGGGTTCGTGTATTTTTCATTTTGTTTGTGTTAAAATCTTTCAAACTATGTGCAATTTTTACCTGTACGTGCATTTTTATTTTACTCGTGTAATTTTTTCATCTAACTCGTGTATAAAATCTTTATCGTTGTGCAGAAAATACTTTTGAACCAATCGGCGTGCCATACTTGACCGAATAGGCTAAGTTTGACGGGGTTAGAAATGCGTTCTCTGAATGGCCTCATGCAAGTTTGCATGAACCAATCAAAATCATTGTTTATTTAAACTGAAACTACATCGTAAACAGAAAAACACGTCAGTTTTATTCCCAAGGACTACGTATTTTTCATTAGATATCCCTTTAAAAGGTTTGTCTCAGTTTTTTAGTTGAGTAATATTGAATTTATTACCGACTAAAAATATAATCTCGAATTCGCTTTTGAATTCGTTTACTCTGATTGGATAATAGCAGAGGTCAGAAGAGTTCAAAATATGTAATCTCACTAGATGGCGTGACAGTAAACCCCGTCAAATTTAGCCTATTCGGTCAAGGGTTTATGTGGAG